CCTTCCACGATACGATACTGGACCCCATCCACCAGTCTCTCTCACATTTCGAGTGAAACCAGTCTGGATGAAATGACTGTGGTTACTAGCTGTGCATATAGGAAATATGTAGACAAGACATTGCGGAGAATGGGAATGAACAAAATGCTTATACGATTCCGTAAGCTCTTAGATAGGACTTTACAGAGGGCTAAGGAGGCATTAGAGAAACCAAAAGGACTAAATGTATCAGACATCAACAGTAAAGTAAGTTTAAGTTTCTTTAAATTTACTATTAAAGAGCTTTTCAATCACATTATTGTTACCTTATATATTGGCTAATATTCAGTGCAAAACTTAACACCCATGATTAATAATGCTGTACACTGTGAGTGAAAATGAATAACTCCTGATGTTCACCAGACAATGAGAATGGAAGCCTATTAAAACTTGAGATTGCATAGATTTCACCAAATTGAATAAAAGTAAATATTTGCTACGAAATAAAACAAGCTCTTATTTTTAAATTCCCTTTTTTAATAATTTTAATTCATCTTATAATTATCTGTCAATGTCATGTAGTGATAATTTTCTGTTTATTTTTACAGTTAAAAAAAACGTAATTTAAATCCAGGTTTTGTTTGCTGTTTTCTGATTCACATAACTATTTAATAAAGTCTCACTAATCCAAACTGGCAGTTGTAAGCACTATGCCACCAGCAAAATTACACCAGTAGACAATAATACTGGTAACGGATCTAACCATTTGTTTCAGATCTTTTTCTAGGCTTTTTGTAAATTCATTGTCCGGTGATAATGTTATCTGCAACGACGACAGGACAGTAATTATGTAGTTAGCTATATAGCCCCTCAGTATATATCTGTAGTATGTGCCATTTATCTGCATTGGTTACATTGTTGAAATCATTTAATTCAATTGTAATTAACAATTTACAGTTTATTTCCAATAATTTCGATATGTTTCCATAAATTATTGTTAGTTTTATCTATTGCTTAGTTATAAGGGCTATTTTTTCACTCATGATCATATATATTTGGTATACTCATATATTTAGCATTTGCAATTGTGGATCATGTTTAACTTGGACATTACATATATGATTATAATTAATACATAAATATTGCAGTCACCAGTTGAAGAGAAATCCCACCTGTCCTCCTCACCAGGGCTTGACCTGTTGCCATCAGAGCTGACATCCCCGACAACAGTAACGTACCACAGGAGTACAAGCCAGACTGACCAGGAGCCCTTGGTGGCTCACTTTATAGAGATGGGCCTGCCTTCATTCCGACCTAGCTACCTCTTTCTCCTCAATGTGTTCCTGGAAGTTATCCATGAAGCCCTGAGGCTGAGGCTGGAACAGAGACCCAAAGGGGAACCGTCATTCCTCAGTATTCGCCCTGTACGTAAACATCAGTTTAAATTGATGTAGGAAATGTACATAGATATGGAAGCAATTTGTAATAACCAAAATGAAGATGATATTTATGTTGAAAATGTTGGTAATACATGTATATAATATGCCTGTGGACAGCTTTGAATGCACAATTTGATTTGATGCTTTGAAATTTACAGTGTTGGATAAAAAGTAAAGCTCCAAGGTTCAAAGCAGCCAGTACGCCCAGTAGAAACAAAAATTTGCTTTGAAGTGAAAAATAATACTGCATAAAAATAGCGCAGTTGAAAACATTTGATTTTGAAATATTTTGAAAGCCTGGACAAACTATTTCTCATGAATATTCAGACTTTTTTGTGTGTCTACTACAGCTGCTTCGTGAGTGTAAGGATGTGTTGCGGGGTGCGGTCATAGTAAAGCAGTACTACCAACAAATGGTGGCCTCAGTGAGATCTGATGAGGAGTTTGCAGAGGAAGAGGAAAACTTTCCTGACCTGGAACAATTTGATGACGACATGAGGAAGATGCTGGAAGTAAGAGCATCAGTTTAAGTCTATTAGTACTGATTAATTTCCTTTACAGTAATAATTATTGTATTACAGTACTTGCTTCATGTACTAACAGAAACATAAAAAAGGAGTGAAAGCAACAGAGGCTTATAATCAAAGGTCAAGGTTGTATGGTGATGACTTAAGATGGAGTTTTTGTGACACCACCTTCTGTCTGTACTTAAACATGAATGTGGCTACAATAATACAGTGGTTCATCAGGGTATTTAAGGATAAACCTTGTCAAGTTTTGTGAAATTCCAACTCCTCAATAAGTTTTAAAGATACATTTGAATGTCATGATCTATTTTGGAAGTTTTCACATGTATATATTAATGTAGAAGCACCTTGCAAGAGCAAGCTGAGGACAAAAGGCAGTATTGATTTAAAGAAAAAGAAAAAGAAAAAATGTTTGCTTGAAGTAGTGATATGCTGTTTTACTAACATTTTTCAAGGCCTTTTTAGCTCACCAAGTAATCATGTATTTTTGCAGTCTTAGAAATATGCAAATGTCATTACTTAATTGGAATTTTCTTTCAGATCTACTTCACATACATCCAGAACTGGTTGATAACCCTGCAAAACTTGCCTGAGGCTTCCAGAAGTCTCAAAAATGTTCTGGAACAGGAGTGGAGTTTCACAAAACAGATCTGTCCCCATGTCAGAGGAGGAGAGGCTGAGGCTGGCAAACGATTCAGGTAACTGAAGGGATTGTTTGGGTAAATTAGTCATAGATTAACAGGAAAATTGGTTTTCAAAGAAAACGTAGTCAAGTTGTTCAAATGTTGATTTCCTAGGTTTTCTGAAAATTTGAATGTATTTTCATATCTCTTGCTTAGAGAAGATCAACACTATTAAACCATAATAGACACTAAGTTTTATCACTATCATTAAATTTTGTAATATGAAAAATGTTATGGAGGAAAAACATGATCTGTAAACTCAGCCCTATGTAACCCTTGCTTTTAAAACACCATGCTCTTTTTAACATTTCCTCTCACAGATAAAAGTCTGCAGTCTAGCAATAAGCATTGATGTAGCTGTACAGCAACTCCAAAATTCAATGGTATATGTTATAAAAAAGTACTCTTTGTGAAAACTGTAAGTATGTGTCTGGTTGTGATTTTTACAGCTCATTGGCAAGCAGTCTACTGTATTCTATTGCCGATTTCCTGGACTCTGGCATTGACGATTTCAGTACATCATTGTACGATTGGACAGTTCTAGATGATGATGATGATGATGATGATGACGATGATGAAGACGGAGACAATGAATATGATGGTGCTACAGGAAGTGACAATGAGAGGAATGAGGAAGACAAAGAAAGGGAGGAAAAAGAAAAGTCGCACATATTAGAGCTCAGGTTTGTCTGCTGACCTTATTTCTTTGTCTGCCAGGAACTAAGAGCTATGTAGAACCAAAATTATATCAATTTTTTTCAAAAATACTTTAAAACCTTTAAACATGTCCACAGTTCTTATTTTTTCCATGACGTATTATTTGAATTTCACCATCAGAATTTTCAGTTACAGAATAAAATCATTGGTTGGTGATCCTTTTCCGGTCCCTAAACTAGTATGTTTTGAAGTATTTTAGATACAGATGATGTACAAAAGGTTATGGTTCTGAAGAACTTTAGCTCAGACATTAACTTTGAATAAGTTTCATTTTGGGTAAAAACTGATGTATGATTCGGTGTGTAGTATTTGAGATAAGAAAATATATTGGAATTGGAATTCTTAACTTTCAGGTAAATTATACGATATGTATCGTCATTCCAATTCAGTGTTTTGTATTGTCGTTTTTGCTTGTTTTAGGCATTCATTCCAGAAAACATCCAGAAAATGCAAAAGTTTGTTCAATGAAGCAAGAGAGAGAGCATCAAAAGCACTAGGGTTTGCCAAAACATTACGTAAGGTAGGTCAGAAAATATTTTGGATGTCTGTTTCACATTAATCCTAAAATAACATAATGTTGAATTTTAGTTTATCTGTACCATGTCAAATGAGCTAAACAGAATAAAGTTAAAATTTACAAATACAGTTCAAAATTAACTTCTTAGTCTGGATATATGATTAATTATACCTGTTCTTATAAATATTGATATATGTGTTTATGTTACCTGTTCAAAATCTTTCATGAACTTTAAAATCTTTCACAAATGATGTCAATTTGCAGTCTTAATTTTTGCCTCCCCTAGGGTTCGTTAACAATGTTCACTTTAGCCAACTTACTTCTTCGATTCCCTAGGTAGGTTTTGTTGTAAACATATTTCACAACAGAGAACTACTTCTAATTTTAGGCTGCCATCCATTCTTTAACAATTCTTTTTATCATAGTTAAGTTCTTCTTTGGTCTTAAGCTTTGTATGTTTTATTTGTGACTGAACACAAGATCAAGATGGCTTTAAGGTAGCCATCTTGGATTTTGACATTGCTATTTCTCTTTAAGTTCAATTCTGGCTGCCAGGTGGCCATACTGGATTTTGGTTACAATTCAAGTTTGTTAAGACTATTTCACCAAAATGCCAGAGGTTTATGTCCCCAAAGGTTCATTATTAACATGTTTTACTGTAGATAAGTACTCTTTAGGTCTGTGAGTTTTCATTACTTATATATTCTAATGTATGAATGTTTCTTTTCACATTGGTGCTTAAAACATCTTGACAGTAAGTATTTTGTTTCATATGTTACAGGACCTAGAAATTGCTGCAGATTTTAATATAGCAGAGACCACGGTAGAACTGCTGGAAAAGTTACAGGAAACTGACCATGTCATGGTATGTTTCAGTGTCCTCTCAGTCATCAGCTTCAGTCATATAAAGGGCCTGTCACACCTAGCC